ATATATATTTAATATTATATATAATATTGTATATATATATATATATATATATATATATATATATATATATATATATATATATATATATATATATATATTGATGGCATAGCGCACAATTGTGGTAAGTGCAAAAACTAACATTTTACAGTACAGCCATTTGAAAGTTCTGTTGGATGGTGTGTGTAGGTTTTTGTTTCTATAAATTTAGTTTTGTGTAAGCTTGAGTACAGAACCGTTATCTGTCACATAGTTATTAGTTTAAAAAAGTTTACTTAATTTTAAATACTTAAATATAGATTTTTGTACTTATAGGTATGTACTTACCACATGTGGAGTTTCTTATATTGTACATACCCCATTTGACAGTTATATACTATAAGTTTCTAAATGAAATTAAATAAAAAATATCAAGGAAAAATTGTTTAATTCGCAAAAAGAATGAATACAAATATTTATTCATCATCAGAATTATCATATCTTATTCTATTACTTGTTGGTAAAGTGTTATAAAATGCTTCATACTCTCTTGGTATGACGTGAGTTTCCAATAAACTGAGCAAATCCTTCTTTTTTTGTTCACTGATTGGAAGCAGATTGGGATAAGCCTTCTTTAAATTTATTTGCTGCAAATCTGTTACCTGCAAGATAACAAACTTATCAGTGTAATCCATTCTCACAGCTTTACAAAGGGCAGTAAAAAGAAGAAAGAAGGCTACTCTAGTCAAAACTAAAGTTGAAAAGTGTGTTCACCACTATCTTAGTTGCCTCCTGATGATGCTAATTTAATTCAAGTGTTAAGTTTAGTGTTTAGTAGTTTTGGTGATAGTGGTGAACACATTTTTAACTTTGATGAAAAGCTAAAGGTTTCAATTTTCCAACTTAGTCAAAATAAAATGTTAAATAATACAATAACTTTACCTTGGCATTCCTCTTCTGATTAATATTAATGTTCATAAACTCTTCAGCATTTAAATTGTACTTATAAAGAATAAGGTTAGGTTTCCCTTTAGAAAATCGTAGCCACTTAATTTTTAACCAATTTACCGTTTCCCCGTTGGTGTTTTTTGTTGTGTTGTGTAATACTTCTGTTGTCAGCGCTTTAAAATCGTGAAAATCTTGGTTATTTAATACATTGACTTCATAATTTCTTGGATTAATTCTGGCAGTCGAGATTAGCAGTGCCCATTCCCTGGTAGTGTAAATTTTCTTATGCTTCCTTGCTCTTTCTATAGTGGCATGCATTGCATCTACTTCTAAGTAGGAATGTCCACTCTCCATGTACTTTAAATCTATTATTTTTAAATGGCTAGATACATTTACAGCATATAACATTGCAGCAGAGATGTGTTTATTTCGATTCTGACCTCCACATGTGTCAGAGAAACTAGATACATACTTGACAGTATCAGGTAAGGAACCTAAATATTTTAAAATGCATGTAGCTACTTCAGTACTTCCCTTCTGACCATTGCACTCATCCCACACATAACAAAAACCATTTTTTGAATGGGGTTCAAAAATCGTAAAATTGTATGCATTTAACTTTCTTTTATAAAATATTGCAGAGTCACCTGCAAATGGAAGTGTTAAAATGCTTTGTAGATCAAACGAAATAGATCTAAATGTTTTTCCATGATCCTCTTCTGCTCTTATTTTGTCAGAATGTTTCATCTGCATTGCTTCCTTTTCTCTATTCTTGTGTGCTTGCCACTCATTTTCCAAGTCACTTTTGTCTAAAGATGCATTGTATGTATTACATTTGGTACATTGATCCTTTTTTGGTTGATAAAAGCTTAATACTGGATCATATGAATGAAAAATGTTTTTATATACGTAATATGACACAGGTTCATCTGTACACTCTTTGTATAAACGGTACATTATACTTATATTTAAATCAGATGCCAAATATAGTTTTGTACTATCACGCCTGCAGTAATGAGACTCCATCCTAGGAAAAGAGTCTATGTGAGATTTTACAAGTGCATTATTGTTCTCTGATGTAGCATTCACTGGTCTTTTACCAATTTTTTTATCAGTGCCAGAATAATTGCCCATATTTGACAAAGTCAGAGTATCTAACATGCAGTGACTTATTGATAATGTGTTACAAAGAAACTTCATGCACACTCTAATTAATTTTCCTCCACGTGACCTTAAATGATATTGTTTGGACATATTTTTTGGGTTTTTAACATTTAATCTACGGCGAACAACGTCACTAAATGTTAATAAAGATGCTAGATACTGTTTTTGCTTACAACTGTCACTCAAACCCCAATATTCTTGACATAACACTTTTCTCTGATCTTCATTAAAATTAGCGTTGCATTTATATCTAAAATAATAATAACAATTATGTAATGATTGGGCACTACTTAATGTTTTTCTGGTTCATTCAGCTATTTTTCTTGGCTGGGTACTAAATCCACAATCAGTACCCAAAAGAAATAAATAGAAAGTCAAAACTTACCGGCATTTACTACAATTGATGTTCTTAACAGCTTTCATAGGAACAATTTTTCCTGACCTATTTACATATTCCTGACCACTTATACGATTCTGTTTGGCTTTGTTACGTTTCCAGTTTTCTGGCTGAGCTTTTCTTTGCCTTTTCATTCTAGGTACTGAAGGTGCATCATTGTTCTCATTATTTTCATTATTATCTAATTAAAATAAATAAATAAATTGTAAAATTAAAATATGGGCAGAAATAAAGTAAACAGTGAACAGTAAAGTAAAATAAACAATAGAATAATTTCATATTTTACCAAAAATATTTTGAAGCCCTTCTTCATGATCAGACTCCTCGGAGTCCTCTTCACTAGTTTCAGGATGATAACTTAAGGAACTATCATCTGAAATGTCCAATTGATTATTCGTTGCAATTACTTCACTACCACTAGGTATCTGTATCTCCATATGACTAGATGGTTCAGTAGTTGGCTTCAAATCTAATAATTCTGCTAGAAACAAAAAAAAACACAATACAACCTGTTTTGCAATGTTTAGATAAATAAAAATGTTAGTATTTACAAATATATTTTTAATTCTAAAATAATATAATTTCCAATTTAGAGGTTATGAAGATCCATGTCTTAGTTTTTATGTTTCACTTACCTGTTTTTTGTTGTTCACACGCAAGTTGTACTAGACGATGTGCTCTACTATTCATATTTCACTTATTTTAGACTTCAAATAATATTAAACTTTATTAAAATGGAACGGAGCAAATACGTTGTTACTTACACCAAAGATTCTTTGCTTACACTAGTGGCAAGTTCACTCTGACAGTAAGGCTGCGTTGCCAATTTGTGTGTCAAAATGTGGTATGTGCGTACTTACCACATTGGTGCATTCATGTTAGAACAGTGAAGAGAAACCATTTGTGGTAAGGGCACATACAACATTTGGCTCATTTAATTTTTCTTATATTTAGCAGTTAACACATTATGTCAACTTGTATTTCTTACACGGTTCATTATTTACTTACCACATTTGTGCACAATAAACAGTTTTAGAATTCAATAATAATTACATACAATTTACACAAGACAAATAAATAGAATAAATACCTAAATGACAGTTTACAGTGACAGCCTACATTGTATTTTAAAAAGATTTTTTCAGCTTTTTTCGAAAACTATTCAGAGAGCTAGAAAAAAAGGCTACATCTAAACCATTATAAATCATACCCAATAAATCATATGATTTATTTAATGATTGTAATTATTGTAATTGGTATAACCGTAAATAAACTATTTATTTATTTATCATTGTAGATATGTGGGATATTAGAAAGAAATGAAGCACTGAAAGAAGGGTCTATAAAAAGCCATATATGATTTCTTGTTATATACTTACCTTTTTCTTTTGTTTGTTTTTCTTCATATGGCATAAGTTTATTTTCATCTTCTTTTATTTCAATTTTTAATGAGTATTCATTTAAGTCTGAATCATCAAATGTATCATGTGTACTTTCTCTATTGGATTCATCTTTAATGTCATTTTTGAAGGTATCTAAAAAGGCATCATTCACCTTATTAGAATATATTTCTGCTCTACAATTATCTTGACTAAATTTTTGCTTTATTTCCATTATATTAAACTCAGTATTAAACCAGAATGTATTTCCATATTAATTTTATATGTACTCAAATAGCTAAATGACTAATATTTTTTTATATATAAACCCAACTGAACTCAAAATTACCTTAGTTTGTAGCAAAAAACAGGAACAAGAATTAAAAATATAAATTAAATACCCTATTACCCTATTGTGGTTGATGGCATTCATACATCATAGGAATAGATAAGCTCCTTTTATGGAATTTAAATTGTTTATTTTTGGCGGTAGACATTGAAAGTAACAAAAGTGTTTGATTTTTTGTCAATTATAATCCCGAAAATTTCAGGAGCAATAAAACAAGTGAAAATCTAATGAGAAAAATTAAGGTCATAACACTAGTTGTTATTCCATTATCATTTTTCTTACAATTTTCACATATTCAGCAGGAACTTGCAGAAACTAGTAAACCAAACAGAAATCTGTTTGGTTTGCTATTAGATAAAATCATCTGAGAAATAAAAACCTAAAACATGCAGTTAAGCTTAACTTTTATAAGACCAATAACACCAGTTTTGATATATGGGGTTGAAACATGGACTTTATCCCAAAGTGACAAGAGGCTAATTGGAATCCCCAAGAGAAAAAATACTTGACAAATATGTTTGGGGCTGTAAATGAACATACAGTTTGTATGTGTTTTATACAGATATATGTAGTCTTGAAATCTTTTACATTTATCTATATTTGGGAATAATGGCATAAATAAATAAATGTAAGTATATCAGCTATTTAGTCATTTGACTGTTTATGTACACAACAACATTAATCCCTAACTATGTCTACATGTTATTTACTGCTCAAGTGAATAAAGAATAGAAATTCTTATTTTAAAGAAAATTTAAATATAATTTCACAGCTCTTTGTACTGAACCTAAAGATACATACCATGTTCACCCCTGTGACTTCCTTTAGCAGTATGCTCTAGTTTTATATTATCAACATCACTGTTAGAATACTGGAGTCCTAAATCATCTTGTTTCTGATCAAGATCAAATGTCATATCTTCAACTGTTAATTCTTTTTTAATATGGCCCAAACTAACATCAGAATCTCCAAATCCATAGTCTTTAATATAAGTGTCTTGATAAACTGCATCTGGTTCTTTTTTTATAAATTCGCGCTTGATAAACAAACTATTCTCAGACATGATATTTGGGTAATTATTTACTAAGCCGGAACGCCTTAAAAATGCCCAATTTTTTGTGGACTTAGCCGAAAAAGTGAAAACAACCTCAAATTTTAATGTTTTCTTTGCTTTAAACTATTAAAAGTGCCCAAATAATCAAAAAAATCAGAAAAAATACAAAAAAAGTATTATGAACCAAAAAAAAATACATAAAAAGCAAAGAAAAGTATATATAAATGTCTTAATAAAAAAAAAACGTAACTAAAACATATTAAATATCACTATTTTTTACTGTAAAATTATGAAAAAAATGCGTAAAATTGTTTAAAATAATCAAGATTTTTAATATTTCAAAACAATATGGCGGCCATGCGCAAGAAGTTAAATTTTATGTACTTTTGACATTGTTGCCAGTTTTAACATTTAAAATACCTAAAATTTAATGAAAATTACATTTACATTTTAATATGCAAACCAATGGTCCACCATAGATGCGATCACAGAAGTAACCTCTTTAGTCACGCAGGATACAAAGAGATGGATGGCTCTCATCCTGCGCGACGTCAAGAATGCCTTTAATACGGCATCATGTCCAGGCTGAGAGAATTGGGCATTAGTGAGTACCTGCTCTCCGTAATTGACAGATACTTTACTAACAAATCCATAACAGAAAAATATACCAGCATCAGTTTGTCTCAGAGTGTTCCGCAGGGTTCAGTACTAGGTCTCATCCTTTATGACGGGGTGTTAGGCTACAGATGCCAAAGGGATGCACTCTTGTAGCTTATGCTGATGATCACGCACTGGTTGCGAAGGCGAGTCAGAAAGCGGGCATTGCTAATGTGGCTAACACAGCCCCTGAGGTGTTAGTTCTCAAAGGGACCCGGGAAATATCCTCTCTTCGCTTTACAATGGAAGGTGTGGAGGTTGCACCGATTAAATCAATTAAGTATCTGGAAGTCTGGTTGTCAGAAGGTCTAAGGTTCGGAGTACACATCCAAAAGACAGTAGAGAAGGCGAATCGAAATCTGGAGGCGTTGATGCCAAACATTCGAGGCCCAGGAAGCACCAGGTGCTAAATGGAGTTTTCCAGTCGGTGGTAACCTACGCTGTCCCTGTGTTGTGTAGTGTACTAAACACTGCGAAATACGCTAAGCTGATGTAGACGTCGCAAAGGCGAATGCTCTTCAGGGTATCTAGAGCATATAGGACAGTTTAGAATGAGGCTCTATATGTCATTGGAACAGTGATACCCATCGTTTTGTTGTGTAAAGAATGAGCGAGGATGGATGTAAATATAGATGAGAATGAGAGAGAAATAACGAGAGTAGAGTGGCAGAGAGAATGGGCGAATCATAGTGGAAAGGCAAGGTGGACGAAGGAGCTTATTCCCAATCGGAGACCGTGGTGGGAATGTAAATTCAGGAAACTAGACTACTGCCTGACGCAGTTTCTGACCGGACATGGTAGTTTTGTACTGTTTGTGGGGTACCTGACGCTCCCGCCTACATTTTTAACCGCCAGAGATGAGAGATTTAAAGAGGCGAATGGGTTTCGAGCTGGACGACAGAAACATTCTAAACATAATGTTGAGAGAAGTACATTATCTGATTTCTGGAGGGATGAAGAAAAAGGAGCAGGAGGACAGAGGACGAAATTGAGTCAGGGATCTGAAATTTATTAATTTATGTCCTAACATCAAAACATTTTCTGATTTACGGTAATAGGTATGGTTATTTATAAATTTTTAGTTTTTTATTTAAGTTGTTGATTGAGTGGCAAGACCACCTCTCTGGTTAAGAACGGTGGTTAAGGTTTTAGCCGGAATACGGTTAATCCAGCACTACCCTGGAGTCGACCGAATCTTGTCACGGATCTTGTTCGGTGACGTAGATTTCCAAAAACTATTTCCACCAACGTTGCCTGACAGAATTCAATGGATACCTTCTTAGGCTCTTACTGGAATCTGGCAATTAAAAAAAAGTAATAAATTAGCGAAAAATGGGTAAAAAATTATGCCATTGGTTGAAAGTTTTTGTTTTTAAATCTGCTTGCTTGAATCTTAAGGAAGCAGAATCGTTTTCATTAAGGGTGGTTTGACGGTGAAACATTATTACAGCGATAATAAAATAGTGAAAAATGGGTGAAAAAATATTACGTAGGTTAAATTGGATTCCGCTCATTTGTCCCCACAAGCTTAAGGGTCCTAATGAAATAACGAAGCGGCTCGAGTTGTGGAAATTCATAACAGTCTAATATTTAAATCTTGGCAATGAGTCACCCTCTTCAATTGATTGTTGGAACCGGGATTAGTTAACGGAATATAGCCATATTTATAATTCATAGGTTTTGGTAAAGTTTTGAGGTATCTAAACAAAATGCGTTTAGTGGTCAAATCTATTTATTGTTTTTATAATACAAATTTGAATAAGTTTAAAATATTTTCAAAACACTTTTCACATATAAATTCTAAAAATCGATACTAAATGTGAGATAATCAATCTATCAAGGAGATGGTTTATGGTATGAAAAATCATTCGTCTTGGACCGTTATTTTCCACAAATCTCCAAATATTTCTGTGTTACATCAAATAATTTTTCAAATTATGAAAAATCCCAAGAACAAACTCCATACAGTTTTTTTCTGCATCTTCGAACTTCATATATCAAATCTATGTATAATATTTTAAAGTAGTTGCCGAAACAAACTGCTTTAACAAACTCCTTTTTGATTACATTATGTAAAACAAATTTCACACTCATAAGACTATTTCCAGTGTGCACTCCCAAATGTTTTTCAAATTACCTGCTTCAAAAACTGCTTGAAACAAATTTCATACCTACGGATTTTCTCCAGTATGCAATCTGAAATGTGCTTTCAAAGCATTTACCTGAGAAAACTGATTCAAGCCAAATTTCACACTTTTATGGGTTTTCTCCAGTGTGCCTTCTTATATGATATTTCAAATGATGTGCTGCGCTAAACGTTTTAAAACAAATTTCACACTTGTGGGTTTTTTCCCCGGTGTGTATTGTCATATGTCGTTTCATATTACCTGCTCGAGAAAACTGTTTAAAACAAATTTCACAATTGTATGGCTTTTCCCCAGTGTGTATTCTTAAATGAACCTTTAAACTTCCTGCTGTACTAAATTGCTTAAAACAGATTTCACACTGGTAAGTTATTTTTTCTGTGTGTATTCTCACATGTTGGTTCACAGTGTGAATCATAATATGTTGTTTCAAACTACTTGCCTGAGAAAACTGCTTAAAACAAATTTCACACTTGTATGGTTTTTCTCCAGTGTGTATTCTTAAATGAACCTTTAAACTACCTGCTGTACTAAATTGCTTAAAACAGATTTCACACTGGTAAGTTATTTCTCCTGTGTGTATTCTCATATGTTGTTTCATAGTATATACTCGAGAAAACTGCTTTAAAACAAATTTCACACTTGTAAGTTTTATTTTTACTGTGTATTTTCATATGTTTTTTTATATTATCTAGTCGAGAAAACTGCTTAAAACAAATTTTACACTTGTAAGATTTTTCTGCAGTGTGCGATCTCAAAAAATGTGTGTTCAAATTACTTTTCTGAGAAAACTTCTTGGAACAAATTCCACACTTGTAAGGATTTTCGCCAGTGTGCACTCTTAAATGTATATTTAAATTATTTTTTTCAGAAAACGGCTTAAAACAAATTTCACACTTGTATGGCTTTTCTCCAGTGTGTATTCTTAAGTGCTTTTTTAAATTACATCGAGTAAATTGCTTAAAACAAATTTCACGCTTGTAAGTTGTTTCTCCGGTATGTATTCCCATATGTCTTTTCATATTACTTAGTTGAGAAAACCGTTTAAAACAAATGTCACACTTGTAAGGTTTTTCCCCATGAATTTTCATGTGTAGATTTAAATTTTTTTTTCTACCAAACTGCTTACCACAAAATTCACATTTTAACGTTTTTCCTTCTGCAGTATGACTTGTATGTTGTTCTTTATTAGATGAATGTAAGTCAATTGTTTTCATAATTTCCAAAGTATCCTTCCCTCGGGGAAAGTCTAAAATAAAAACCAAAATATATACACTCCGCATCATAGAAAACAGGCCACCCCAAATATTTAAAATATTTTCGAAATTATTATTTACTGCACGGAATTAAGCATTTATTTTTTTGTATATTGAATTAATATTATTTTATTTTTAATGTGTCTTAGGTTATTTAAGTTAAATGGGTTGTTGCGAAAGCAAACCAACCCTGTAACTGGATTGAGAATATTCGTAGAACTTATGAAACAAAACAATTTAGAGAAAAAGTTGTTTACAACTCGATCAATTTTCGAGGAAGCGATTGTTTTGAGAAATGTATGATATATGGTAAATGGTTCTAATGAGTTTTAAACGCATCTCAGTATTACAGTAGCCGACTTAGTGTGAAGTATCAAAAATCGGTTGAAATTGTAACGTTACTGGGAAGTGGATTAAGTCAAAGACAAGTTGCAAGACAATTGAATGTTAGTCGTTCGACTGTACAAAGGACCCAGCAACGATTTATTGTCACAGAATCTCACCAACGACGAACTGGTACGGGTCCAAAAAGGACAACAAACGCTAGGGAAGATCGCGTCGTCATTCTTGCTGAATTACGGAATCGGACCAAAACCGCTAGAATACTTCAAGGCCATTTATAGCAAGCTCAAGGACCAGCAATCAGCCTTTCTACTATTCGGCAAAGATTAAGGGAACAAGGTTTGACAGCTTGCAGTCCAGCAACGGGGCCCAGCAGACGATTGGAAAAAAGTATTGTTTACGGATGAGTGTAAAATGTCTATTTATGGTAAGGTAAAGACGGACGCGACGCGAGGAGAACGTTTCGCTGGTTACGCTCAGACACCACGGGTTGCTTTTGGTGGTAGTTCAGTAATGTTTTGGGCAGGGATTACTTTTGATGCGCATACGGATCTCGTCGTGATCGACAGAGGAGCGTTAATAGCAGTAAGATACATGATGGAAATCTTACATCATGTGATGCCTTATGTTGGATTTATTGCCACAGGGATAATCTGCCAATCTTATGTTGGAGACCACACACGGCCAGGATAGTAACGAAGTACCTTGATGAGGTTGGTATTCCAAAAATAGACTGGCCTGCTCAAAGTCCCGATTTAAATCCTATTGAGCATATATGGAGCCTGCTAAAAAGTCGCAAAACGTTATAAATTCCATGCCAAATCGAATGAGGAGGGTCATCCAGAATAAAGGTGGCAATACCCATTACTGAAAATGGATACCAACTTTTTTTAATATACAGTTCATTGTTGTTTTAGGTAATTGGTAAGTTGATTTTTTCAATAAATTTCCTATTTTTCTTAAATTTTTTATTTTCGATTGATGTTTTACGATAATGATGAAATTTTGTACTAAACGAGTTATCGTTTCAATATACAAAAAAATAAATGCTTAATTTTGTAGCAATAAATAATAATTTCGAAAATATTTTAAATATTTCGGGTGGCACGTTTTCTGTGACGCGGTGTGTATAAAAAAACTTAAGACATAAATAACAAAACAGGAAACTTTTAAATCTTAGTGTCTGAGATGTGAGGAATACGAGGTCTGGCTATTAAATAACGAGACTGATTATGAAAAAGAGTTTTATTTTAAAAATCATTCTATAATCGAATGCTCCCCCTTCCCTCGCTACACACCGTTCCATTCGTTTTTTCCATTGGTCAAAGCAATGCTGGAAGTCTTCTTTTGTAAGAGCATTTAGGAGCTCCGCCGATTTTCGCTTCACCTCTTTCATCGACTCGAACCGGGTTCCTTTTAAGGCAGACTTGATCTTCGGAAACAGGAAAAAGTCACAGGGTGCTAAATCAGGCGAGTAGAGCGCGTGTTCGAGCACTGTAGTGCCTCTAGCGGCTAAATAACGCTTCACAGACACCGCGTTATGGGCAGGTGCATTGTCCTGGTGCAAGATTCACGATTTGTTTTTCCACAACTCCGGCCGTTTCTTAAGAACTGTCTCTCGGAGCGATGCCAAAACTTTCAAATAGTAAGTTTGGTTTACAGTTTGACCCTCTGGAACCCATTCAGTGATCACGATGCCGTTGATGTCGAAAAAAACGATTAGCATGTATTTAAATTTTGATTTCGACATCCTTGCTATTTTCATTCTCGGCGATGCAGGAGTTTTCCAGTGCATGGATTGCCGCTTAGTTTCAACATCGTATTGGAATATCCAGGTTTTATCGCAAGTGATGATGTTTTCCATTAATTCAGGCTTTTCATCTAACCGCTGAAGAAAATCTGAGCAGATCTGTTGACGGACGAGCTTTTGGTCAGCGGTCGAAATTTTTGGGACAACTTCGCACAGACTTTCTTCATGTTTAATTCGTCATGTAAAATTTTTCTGACAGTTTCTTTATTGGCGTTTACAGTCTCAGCAATCATCCGAATACTCATACGACGATCTACGCGCACAATTTCATTTATTTTGGTCACTATTTGCGGAGTTGAAACAGAGACAGATCACCTAGACGTTGGTCATCCTCGGTGCTCTCTCGACCTTTCAGAAATCCTTTTATACCATTCGAAAACACGCGCACGAGATAGAGAATTCTCACCATAGGCCTCTTTCAACAACTTATAAGCACTCAGTCGGAGTTTTTTTTAATTTAACGAGAAATTTCACATTGATCCGTTGCTCGTGTTTTTCGTCACACATTGTTATCGGCACGAAAAAAACACGTTCGTTTTTAACCTCTACAGAAAAAATATTGCTACAGCGACAAAAACGTGTTTTCGTACTGAAAGAGGAGACACTTCCAGCTATCCAACGCTGCATTCGTTTCCCACCCTACTCCTCTAGGACGCCTTCTGCGCGCGCAGTCTCGTTATTTAATAGCCAGACCTCGTATTTAATTTAGCAATGTAGAAGATATATTCTCCCGAATTTTAATTCTGATAATTAGAACATATATTTCAAAACTTAAATATGAAGCCAGACCGTAGCAATTTATTAGAGAAGATATTTGAGCGACATTTGAGATTACACCCCCTGTTTCAATGTAAGAAGTATGAAAAGAAAAAGATCTAATTACTATTTATAACTGGAATAAGCCACAATTAAAGATAAAAAATACGTTTATTGACGTTTCAATTTCCAATTCGGAAATCGTTCTCAAAATACAAACAGTAAATTTACTGTTTGTATTTTGAGAACGATTTTCGAATTGGAAATTGAAACGTCAATAAACGTATTTTTTATCTTTAATTGTGGCTTATTCCCAGTTATAAACAGTAAATTTACTGTTTGTATTTTGAGAACGATTTTCGAATTGGAAATTGAAACGTCAATAAACGTATTTTTTATCTTTAATTGTGGCTTATTCCCAGTTATAAATAGTAATTAATTTACAATGCCACAAGAAAATAGCTTCAGAACAATAAAAAGATCTAATGTGCAAACAATAACTTTAATGAGGTTAATGATTGTACACTAATTTTTTTTCCATTTACCATGTGGAATATCGATAATTTAATGGACAATATTGACTCAGTTATAATAAACGTTAATGGTGACAGTGAGAGTGAAAGTGACGAAGACACGAGAATGGGCAAAAAACTGAAGTACATAAGTTTAAACAAACATAATATTTTAATTATCTATGTACTTATTTATTACGATTGAACATTTTTATGTTCTTAAATATATATTATTATATAAATGTATACATAATTATTTTTATTTCATTTATATGCAAGTATTTTTCGAACATAATGTGTTGTATAACCTCTGGTAGCAACAAAATTTAGATAATATAATTCCCTAAAACTCTTCATTCAATTTTATTTTCATTTATTTTCTTAAAACCATCTTTTAAAATTTATATATGATTTCTTGTTATAAAATTTATTTTAAAGAAATGAGGCACTGAAAGAAAGGTCTATAAAGAACCATATATGAATTTTTGTTACATACTTACCTTTTTCTTTTGTTTGTTTTTCTTCATATGGCATAAGTTTATTCTCATCTTCTTTTATTTCAATTTTTAATGAGTATTCACTTAAGTCTGAATCATCAAATGTATCATGAGTACTTTCTCTATTGTACTCATCTTTAATTTCATTTTTGAAGGTATCTAAAAGAGCATCATTCACATTAGAATATATTTCTGCTCTACAATTGGCTTGACTAAATTCTTGTTGTACTTCCTTTTAATTAAAGCAGGTAATTATTAAACCATTTATATGTAGGGGAGCACGGGGCACCTTGAAACATTGATCTTATTTCAAATTCTGGAGGATAAATGAGAACTTGTTACTGTCAGTGTTACGCTTCAATCGACACCAGAACTAGTCATCTTTGTTTCGTTATAATCTCGGTTGTAGTTTGGATGCGGCTGAGGAAATTGTGTTTTTGGGTGACAAAACTAAATTGTTATGTGAGGACATCGTTTGATTTTAAGGTAAAAACTGCAATATTTTATCTAGTTGAGTAGCATTATTCGAAACTTTTATATTTACTGAATTGCTTTTATGCATTTTCTTTTCTATAATTGTTCAATTGTTCAGATGTATCAATAGTCGCTGAGAATAGCATTAAGATGATTTTGGAGAAACTGGTTTTTTGCGTGATCAACCCAATGCCAAAAAACAATTTATTTCTTTCGGAATCGACTTCACTAATTTAAATATTGGCTAACTACTATAATCAACATATGAATTATTTTTCTTTTGATTTTATATTTTTTTATTATTGGAATAAAACTAAAACAATACACTTTTATTGGGCATACTACTAAAGCAGTCTCATTGGTATATTGTACAACTTGGTCGTTTTTATATATGTTAAATTTTATCCCTATATATGTTACGTTGTGCCCCAGTGGTGGAGTACAATGAAACATTTTTTTTTTTAACTTGAATTGATTATTACTCAAAATAGTTAATAATAAGGTTTTTGATTCTACTATAGGTAAGTATGCACTCGCAAACGTGTTTTTAAACTACCTGCTTTGCTAAAATGCTTAAAACAAATTACACACTTGTAAGGTTTTTCACCAGTGTGCACTCTTATATATTTTTTCAAAGTACCTGCTTCACTAAACAGCTTCAAACAAATTTCACATTTGTACGGTTTTTCTCCAGTATAAACTCGCAAATGTGTTTTTAAATTACTTGCATTTCTAAAATGCTTAAAACAAATTTCACATTTTTAAGGATTTTCTCTGGTGTGCGATTTGATATGATTTTTAAAATTACATTCTTACGTAAACTGCTTAAAACAAATTTTACAGTTGTAAGTGTCTCCAGTATGCACTCTTAAATGTGCTTTCAAAGCACCTGCCAGAGAGAACTGATACAAACAAATTTCACACTTTTAAGGTTTTTCACCAGTGTGCACTCTTATGTTTTTTCAAACTACCTGCAACACTAAAAAGCTTCAAACAAATTTCACATTTGTACGGTTTTTCTCCAGTATGCACTCGCAAATGTGTTTTTAAACTACCCGCTTCGCTAAAATGCTTAAAACAAATTTCACACTTGTAAGGTTTTTCCCCAGTGTGCAATCTCGTATGTTTTTTCAAATTAGTTTTCTGAGAAAACCGCTTAAAGCAAATGTCACACTTATAAGTTTTTTCTCCGGTGTGTACTCTCATATGTTGTTTCATACTATCTACTCGAGAAAACTGCCTAAAACAAATCTCACACTTGTAAGGTTTTTCTCCGGTATGCAATCTCATATGTTTTTTCAAATTAGTTTCCTGAGAAAACCCCTTAAAGCAAATGTCACATGTATAAGGTTTTTCTCCGGTGTGCACTCTTATATGGTTTTTCAAACTGCTTTTATCATTAAAGAGCTTCAAACAAATTTCACATTTGTACGGTTTTTCTCCAGTATGCACTCTTAAATGTGTTTTCAAACTGCCTGCTCCGCTAAACTGCTTAAAACAAATTTCACACTTGTAAGAAATGTCACACTTGTAAGTTTTTTCCCCAGTGTGCAATCTCGTATGTTTTTTCAAATTAGTTTCCTGAGAAAACCCCTTAAAGCAAATGTCACATTTATAAGGTTTTTCTCCGGTGTGCACTCTTATATGTTTTTTCAAAGTGCTTTTATCACTAAACAGGTTCAAACAAATTTCACATTTGTACGGTTTTTCTCCAGTATGCACTCGCAAATGTGTTTTTAAACTACATGCTTCGCTAAAATGCTTAAAACAAATTTCACACTTGTAAGGTTTTTCACCAGTGTGCACTCTTATATGTTTTTTCAAACTACCTGCTTCACTAAACAGCTTTAAACAAATTTCACATTTGTACGGTTTTTCTCCAGTATGCACTCGCAAATGTGTTTTTAAACTACCTGCTTCGATAAAATGCTTAAAACAAATTTCACACTTGTAAATTTTTTCCCCAGTGTGCAATCTCATATGTTTTTTCAAATTATATTCCTGAGAAAACCGCTTAAAGCAAATGTCACACTTATAAGTTTTTTCTCCGGTGTGTACTCTCATATGTTGTTTCATATTATCTACACGAGAAAACTGCCTAAAACAAATCTCACACTTGTAAGGTTTTTCCCCGGTGTGTAATTTAATATGTGTTTTCAAATGGCTTTTCTGAGAAAACTTCTTAAAACAAATTTCACACTTGTAAGGTTTTTCCCCAATATGAACTTTCATGTGTACATTTAAATTAGTTTTTCTGCCAAACTGCTTATCACAAAATTCACATTTTAACGTTTTTTCTTCTGTAGTATGACTTGTATGTTGTTCTTTATTAGATGATTGTATGTCAATTGTTTTCATAATTTCCAAAGTATCCTTTTCTTGGGAAAAGTCTAAAATAAAATCCAAAATATATAAGAAGCTTAAGACATGAATTACAGAACAGAAAATTTTCAAATCTCAGTGCCCATTGATAGGTTTATTTAATTTAGCAATGTAGATGATACACTCGCATGAATTTTAACTCTTATAAATAGATCATATATTGTATATAAAAGCAATTTATTATATTCCAGCGCCACGGTCGGCGCTCGAAATTTGCATGAGAGTGAATCTGTGAAAACATTACATATGTAAGATAATGAGTAAGAGAGAGACAGAAGATATATTTTCTCTCTCTTCCTCTCTCGAAAATAAAATTTTTTCTTTTGTATATATATTTAATATTATACTATATTATATATAATATTATATATATATATATATATATAATATATATATATATATATATATATATATATATTATAAATTTAATATAATATGTATTAATATTATTATTTATGCTTCAAAATATTCACTATTTGACCAAGAACTGTCAATTTTGAAATGCGTTAGTGTAATGTCTAATTGGCTAATCTTTTACGTGTTTTGTTCATACGCTGGTGGTTGTGAGTTCGAATCCCAATATGAATTTTTTTTTTTGTTTTTGAAATATTTAAACACCCCACGTTAATCTTATTAAATATATGTAATATACGCAAAAATGCTAAATTTTAAAATAAAATGAAAATTGACAACATAATCCAAGTTGTTGGTTTTTTATTTTTATTTTCGTAAAGTAAGTTATGTATATTGGCAGTTTTAAATACTTATGAATATTGCATTTTAATTTATATTGTATTATTATATTGAATTATGTTGTATTGTATTTATTGTATTGTAATTTTTATATTAATAACAAAATAAACAATGAATTTTACTGTAGAGTATGTGTAAAAAAATGTTTTTTTATTCAACTCCTTTTATACATATATGAAAATAAAAATATATATTTTCATTAAAATATTGATACAATCCTTACTTTACTATACTCCTATTACAGGTCAAATGTTTATATACAGCAAACGATACACCATATACCTATATAACTAATTATTTTTCTCTTTCTGCTCTCTCTTACTTATAGCATTACATATGTAATGATTGTGCAGATTGACTCCTGTCTCGAAAGTTTTTATAGCCCAAAAGCGCATAATTCGCTTGATTTTTAATTTACCATATAGACATACATGTAGAGAGCATTTTAGAAAATATCAAATACTCACTGTTCCCTCAATTTTTATATACAGAAGTATTCTGTATACAAAAGCTAATATCAATAGATTGAAATCAAATTTAGATGTACACAATTATCGTATCAGACAAAAAGATTTCTTTAGGACTCCTAAACATTACACTTCTATGTTTGAAAAAAACCCTGATTATAGTGGCGTAAGGTTTTTTAATCAGCTCCCATCCAAATTAAAAAGTGAAGCAGATGATGATAGGGCATTTAAGAATAAATTGAAGACTTATCTCATCGAGTCATGTTTTTATAGTGTCTCGGAATTTATGTCTTAGATATGTTGTTTCTATATTTATGTGTATCTTTATATTGTATAGGTAGTCTTTAATGTTTCTTTTTACTTTGACATGTCCTATATTATGTAAATAATCTGCAAGGATGAATAAAGTTTTATTATTATATTATTTTATTTATATAAATTTGTAACGGCGAACGCGTGTTTAGAAGTATAACTTCTACCGGCAGTCCCACTGGACTGCCACACCCGTTTTTTTATATCAATAAGACCAGATTTCTGAACATGTTTGAAAAACATGTATCAGTAAAAGCCAAAGAACTTACGGATTTTTTTTTTAATAACATTCGCAAATTGAGAAATCCGCTGTCACACAATTCCACTGGAATGTTGTTAATAGCGGTGCAAATATTTTGCTTGTGTTCTTTGGTGGTGGCTGGGGGGATTAGTGAGAAGATGTTCGTTAAATACCCCTACAGAGGTATTTGTCTCCGATCCATATGTCAACACTAGTTGTATAGATAAAGGTATATTCCAAGAATAAACTTTTATGAATGTTCCGAGATTACTATGTAAATGAATGTGCTCAGTATATTCAGACCGACAATATTCTTTGAAGTATATGCAAAGAACATGAATTTTTGAATGATTTTTATGGTACATGCTATGGTTGTACTATGTATATACTACAAAGAATATAATCAGACAATTGTTGATAGTATATGCTTCGAATATCATTGTTATGTGGGGTATTAGAAAGAAATGAAGCACTGAAAGAAGGGTCTATAAAAAGCCATATATGATTTCTTAATATATACTTACCTTTTTCTTTTGTTTGTATTTCTTCATATGGAATAAGTTTAATTTCATCTTCTTTTATTTCAATTTTTAATGAGTATTCATTTAAGTCTGAGTCATCAAATGTATCATGTGTACTTTCTCTATTGGATTCGTCTTTAATGTCATTTTTGAAGGTATCTAAAAGATCATCATTCACCTTATTAGAATATATTTCTGCTCTACAATTATCTTGACTAAATTTTTGCTTTATTTCCATTATATTAAACTCGGTATTACTTAAGTCAGAATGTATTTCGATATTAGTTTTATATGTACTCAAATAGCTAAAAATCTTTAACGAAATAGGTTAAGGAGGGGAGAATTGTTTGTCTCAAGTTGGTCATTCAAAATTATATCTGTGTTTTTTAATTTGTTAATTTCCATAGATTCCAGTAAAGTTAGCTTAAGGCCTTTATTTTCGATGTGAAGAATTTGAAATTCCTCATTAAAAGAACAATTAAGATCTAGAAGGCGAAGTGCATATGTAGAATATGTTTTCCTATTATTGAAATCCCTTTTATGTTCTGTTATATGTTTGTTAAAGGTTCTACCAGTTTGACTGATGTTTTTGGGCAGTCGCCACATTTAAGTTTGTGTACACCACTGTGTAAGTGCTTTTTATTTTCGCTCATGTTGTTTTATTTGCCTAAGTTGTTGTTTGTTCTAAAAGCTGGTGCTATTCCTTTCTTTTTTATGTATTTTGGCTGTTTTTGTTGTTATTTTGCCTGTATATGTAATCGAGTAGAAGGTAATGGGTTTTTTCTCTGGTGATGGAAATACTAATTTCAGAGCTTTCTTGTGTAGTTTTTATTTAAAATTTTATTAATTGTTTGTTCATTGTACCCATTGGTTACTACTAATTGTTTAATGATATTTAAATCTGTCCCAAAGTTGTATTTTGACACCGGAATTTCTATCAATCTATGTATCATGCTATGATAGGCTGCCAGTTTATGTTGTGTAGGATGGGATGATCAATTGTGTATGGTTGTGTCAGTATGGGTAGGTTTAAGAAATACAGAGAACTCATGTTTATTTTTAAGTCTGATGATTTTTAAATCTAAAAAATTAATGGATTGATTTTGTTCTGTTTTTATTGTAAATTCAATATGACTGTGGAGTGAATTAATGAGATAAAAATTAATCAAGTTGTCTGTTAGTTTCTGTAAGACATACCAGTACTACATCATCTACGATCTCCACCAATATAAAAACTGTTTGAGTACAGGATATTTTGAAATTTTTGTCTCTAGATGATTCACAAAAATATCTGATACCAATGGTCTTAGAGGATTACCCACTATAAGTCCTGTACTGTTATTTGTATATATTTTGATTATTAAATTCAAAGTAATCCTGGTTTATGCAAATTTTGAAATGTAAAATTTCAGATGTAATGATTGGAATTGTAGTATCAAGGTCTAAAAGGGTTTTTTTACTAGAACAAAAGTTTCTGTAGGAGGAATACTATGAAAAAGATTTTTTACATCAAATGAAATTAATCCGGAGTTGTGAGGTAATTGAAAATTTTGTATTTTATTAACTAGTTCTATTGTATTTTTACCTAAATTTACCGTAAATGAGTGTAGTTTAGTCATTTAGTCAAGTTTTTAGTCATTTGCCTATTTTTGTGCACCAATGTTTTTACAGGTCATTTACTACTAAGTGAAAAAAGAATAGAAATTATTCTACTACTTATATATGAAGAAAATTTCTAATTTCACAACCCTTTCTTTGTCTTGTAAACATACATACCATGTTCACTGCTTGGACTTCCTTTAGCTGTAAGCTCTAGCTTTATATTATCAACATCACTATTAAAATACTGGAATGGTGCTAAATCATCTTGGTTCTGTTCAAATGTCATATCTTCTGATAATTCTGTTTTAATTTGCTCCAATCTAATATCAGAAGGTCCAAGTCCATAGTCTTCAATATAAGTATCTAAATATACTGGACTAGGTTCTTTTTTTACGAATTCACCCTTCACAAAAGTACTATTCTCAAACTTGATATTTGTTACAATATCTTCATTTTCCTCTTTTCTTTCCATTTTATTAATGGATGGAAGTCCAAATTTTATGTTAGATACTAATAAATAAATTGAACAAATAATTTTTCAGGTAGGTAATGAATATTTATATTATGATTATATTCAGATATTTACCATGATATTTACGTTCCGCATTCCGCCGTCACAGTGTTGCCATATTTTTTTGTACAATGTATACGAATTTTTAAAATAAAAAGATCTTTGATGAAATTATATTTTGTTATGAGTAGTCAACATTTTTAAATTTATATTAAAAAGCTTTCATAAAATATTTTTTTATTAGTTTAATTCAGCGGCGGCTCGTGGCGTGGCCTAAAAAAGTGGGGAAGACGAGGAAACCTTGCTGGAACCAAAAGTAAATTTGGTACCTACGTAGCGACCAAATCTCATTAAAGATTCGTTAAAAAAATGTAGAGTTTAGGGCTCTAATAACTTGAAAACAGTTTTTTAGGGCACTAAAGGCCGTATGACACTATGCATTTTCTTGTATCATTTCTTATATCGTTTCTGATATAGAAAGTTATTTATGTTTTCTTGTATCGTTTCTTGTACGTAGGTACATTTTTGCCCTGTATGACACTATGCAAGTTCTTTTACCAGAAATTGTATGTGATTTGGCACATGATTGGTCGAAATTTTGACACCTATAAAAATAGAACTGCAGTACCTGAGGCACCGAACAAGGGCCTGAGGACCCCAAGCTACTGGGGACTGAGAACACATGCTACTGATTATTTTTAAAAATACTGTGGTGCAAAAATGAAAGAAATAAAATGTCCCAATATGAAAACTAAATTGGAAACCACAATTTTTGAAGATATTCAACAGGTTGTAATGGAAAACAGAAATAATAAATAATTTGGTTGTAATAATTTATTTGTTTTTTTTTTAATTATGTGTTTGAATGGTATGCTCTTGAAACTCTACTCTCTTATTTGGAGATATAAAATAATCTTTAAACTCATCACGAATTTTTAGTGCGGTTATGTATTGTTTTTAGTAAAACATCTCCTCCAACTTTCAGTAGTTCCGATGCTATTTGATACAATCACTGTGATTTATTGTTTTTCAATATGGCTACTGATGTTCTAATCTTGGTTATGGTTGGTAGGCACTATTCTCTGATGTCTGCTTGGCCTAATTGTATGTATACATCAGAGATACTTACATATCTCTGGTATATATCAAAGTTCTCCTCCAGCCATAGCGAAATAAAAATAATAATTATTTTTATTTCTCTATGCCTCCATCCACCAATATGACATGAAAGAAGTTTTACGTTTTAGCGGCTTTGCGCACAAATTAGCGCATTTCTTGTACAAGAAAACGCAGCGGACACAAATTCTTGTATCGTTTCTGATATAAGAAACTATACGCCCGTATGACACTATCCATTTTTTTGTTATATCAGAAACGATATAAGAAATGATACAAGAAAATGAATAGTGTCATACGGCCTTTAATACTAGATACGATTCGTTCTGCTTGCCTGGAGTATTTTAATTCTTTGGGGATTAAAACACCACTCCGTAAAACGGGTTTGTTGAGTTTCGATTCAGCCGCCCACTCTGGGTACGATGCTGATTGCAGCCGATTACTCTGGATCAGACACTGCAGTGTTTACTGGTTTGGTCCGCCTCGAGTATTTCATTTCCCCGGTACCACCTATATCTAGGAGGCATTCCCCTATCCGCCACCTGGGTAGGCGCTCGATGGAGGTCCAACAACCTCTCACGGGATGACAGAGAGAAAAAGAGAGAGAGAGTGAGGACCAAAGTGGCAGATGTCCTAGAAAAAATTTGCACAAGTCAAATGGAGATGGGCTGGACATGTAGCACGTTTAAATGATAATAGGTGGACCAAAACACTCATAGAATGGAGACCTAGAGAAGATAAAAGACACCGAGGTAGACCACCAAAAAGATTGATGGATGAGTTGAGAAAAAAAGTGGGAAATTCGATACAGATGACACAAGATAGGGAATAATGGAAAAATATGGAGGAGACCTATATCCAAAATTGGATGCAAGAGGTTGCGGAATGATGATGTTGATAATACTAGAACCGAGGGTGATGAGATATTTAAACAAAAAAAAAAGCAGTATTAGATAGACTCTAGAACTGACTTATCTAGTTTTTATAAATCAAGTCGATCCTTCGGTGCAACCAGGCATTAGTGTTTTTAATTTTCAATTATTGTTCACAGAAAAATTAAATAAATAAAACATCAAATTGAAAAACGATGTATTAACTAATAAAAATAGACAATGGGCTTAAGCGCTTCGATAAATTTCAATTAAATTCACATTAAGACGTCTGTGGAAACCAAAAATATTGATGTGGTCAACAAGGCAAATAGGTATGCAAAACACCGCTCTACATTTACACCCCTTTGAGAAGTCTTATATTGCTTGATAATGTCACTTAATTTTCCTTTTATGGCATTAGACTCTAGAGTATTCACAACAGTTTCCATACTTATAACCACCTCGCGGCAGCCAAGCATTCATTGCAATGTCGCTTTTTGATCTAACTTTGTCAAAGTGTCAAGCAGAACTCGCCAAATGTTGGATCGTTTGCTCATATACAGGGTGGTAAATCGTCAAACGGGCCATAGGAAACTCAATGGGAAATTCCAAATTGTTGAATTCCTGCTTCCCTGCTTCCTTTACACCAAAAGTCATGGGAAACTATTTGTAGAGTACTCAAATATGTATCGAAAACAACTGTTAAAATTGTTCTACGACTTAAACGTATTCCAAAATTTTGCTAAAATATAATACATTTTTCAGGCCACCCCTAAAAGTCAGGCTAGAGGCCGTGAAAAAATTTGTATTACGTGTTGCGTTTTGTCATATCGATGTTTCTGATATTTGACAATATTTAAATCAACTATATTATATTTATCTATGATTTAAATGGCCAAAATTTTGTGATTTTTTTTTTAAATATAAGTTGATTAAAAAATTTACTCAGTTAAGGAGAAAAGAGCAATAATAAAAATGTTTTATTCATGTTTTACTATAACATTTGTAATAGTTTTATGTTTAGAAATTATCGTATATTATTATTAGGAATAAAGATCACAGTAACAGTATATTGGAATTCATTGAATTGTTGTATAGCTTAACTTAACATGGAATTAAATTTTAGTGTATTAGAATATCTTACGTTAAATAAAGATCCGGTAGTCTCAGGAAAAGGTTCGCGCTATTGCCTGAATACAACATTATGCGATTTTTCGTCAACTGAGTACATTTCATTATATTGATTGATTTGTAAACAATATAAATTATTGTTCACAAAGTAATATTGTTCAGTAGTAGTAGTATTTAGTAAAATTCTTTGTTTATAATTTAATCATAAAATAAAACACATACGTTATATATTCTTGTATTACGTGTGGTCTAACTTTTAGGGGTGGCCTGAAAAATGTATATTTTTGCAAAATTTTGAAGTACATTTGATTCATAGAACGGTTTTTAACATTTGTTTTTAATTCAGATTTTAGTCCTCTACAAATAGTTTTTTATGACTTTTAATCTAAAATAATTAGGGAAGCAGCAATTCAACAATTTAAAATTTCCCGTTGAGTTTCCTATGACCCGTTTGACGATTCACCACCCAGTAGATGGGTAGTGAGCGTAGATTAGACTATTGTGCTCAGCACAAGAGTAACTGCAGGTTCAAACATTTGGTTGTCTTTGTTTTCGAAAGCTGTTTGTTTCATTACAGTTTTTCTTTAAAATAAAATCTAATATTACTTGTTCGATAAAATTGCTTAAAATTTTTTGCACATTTAAGGCTTTTCCCCAATATGTACCCTTAAATGAGTTTTCAAATTTCCATCTTGACTAAATTGCTTACAACAAATTTCGGATATATAAGATGTTTACCCAGTGTGCACTCTCATGTGTGTTTTCCAATTATGTACTTCAACCGTTTTCTCGTTTAAAACAAATTTCACTTTTCACGCGATTTTTCATTAGTATGCACTACCAAATGTTTTTTTAAAGAATCTGCTTCAATAAACTGTTTAAAACAAATTTTACAATCATAAGGTGTTTCCCCAATGTGCATACTCAAATGTGCATTCAAATGAGTTGTTCGAGAAAATTGCTTTAAACAAATTTCACACTTGTAAGGTTTTTCCCCAGTGTGCACTCTCATATGTGTTTTCAAATTATGTACTTCTCTAAACTGATGAAAACAAATTTCACATTTGTATGGTTTTTCATTAGTATGCACTACCAAATGTCTTCTCAAAGAACCTGCTTGAGTAAAGTGTTTAAAACAAATTTCACATTTATAAGATATTTCCCCAGTGTGCAGTCTAATATGTGTTTTCAAATTACATACTTTTCTAAACTGCATAAAACAAATTTCACATTTATATGGTTTTTCCTCACTGTGCACTAACAAATGTTTTTTCAAACAACTTGCTTGGGTATACTGTTTAAAACAAATTTCACACTTGAATGGTTTTTCTCCAGTGTGCATTCTCATATGTCTTTTCAAAGAATCTGCTAAGATATACTGCTTAGAACAAATTTCACACTTGTAAGGTCTTTCCCCAGTGTGCACATTCACATGTATATTCAAATGATTTATTCTAGAAAATTTCTTAAAACAAATTTCACACTTGTAAGGTTTTTCCCCAGTGTGCACTCTCATATGGATTTTCAAACTATGTACTTCGCTAAACCCTTTAAAACATATTTCGCACTTATAAGGTTTTTCCCCAGTGTGCACACTCAAATGTGATTTCAAAGAAACTGCATGTCTAAACTGTTTAAAACAAATTTCACATGTGTATGGCTTTTCACCAGTGTGTACTACCATGTGTATTTTCAAAGAACTAGCTTGGCTATACTGTTTAAAACAAATTTCACACTTGAATGGATTTTCTCCAGTGTGCATTCTCATATGTCTTTTCAAAGAATCTGCTAGTATATACTGCTTAAAACAAATTTCACACTTGTGAGGCCTTTCTGCAGTGTGTATTCGTAAGTGTAAGTTCAAACTGCATGCTCCACTAAATTCCTTAAAACAAATTTCACACTTGTAAGGTCCCTGTCTAGTCTGAGCTATTAAATTTTTATTTGCAGTTTTCCTATCAGCACATTGACTTTCCATAATTTTCATTTTGTTTTCCTCCTGAGTAAAACCTAAAACACAAACCAACTATAAACATCTATTTTACTAGAAAAAAAAATAAATGTAGGAAATTCATTGTCAATAATATATTAAACATTTATTAGGCACCTGTATTTGTTTTATAGGTGCATAATATGCTGTTTTCTTTTAAACAAGCATTTGGCAGTCAGAAAGCCATACAATAAGTCAGTTAATACCATTTTTAACATCAATCATCACATCACCCTCATTGTTGATGACCAAAGTTGTATCTAGACATTTTAAAGCTGATTCCTTTCATTTGACCCTATTCCTTATAGCTTATTTGTAGCATTCTCATGTGCTCTAACCCTTCATCTCAGCTTTAATTTACCTATTGGTCTAGTTCACTCAGATTTCTTTAACAGTAGATTGTGCCGATTTATCTTCCACTTGCTCATGCTTAATATCCTAATTTCCACCCCTATTTACTGGCATCTGATTTTTACAACAGTGATGTGATTAAGCTTTAGGTGTTGGCCATTTCTTTGTACATATTAGCTTAAACTTATATTGATGATGCCAGGATATTCTTGTATGCATAACTGGTTGCATACCATTAAGACAGATTTAATAATTAAAATTAAAACTCCCCAATATGGGCCTCTTGTTTCTTGAAAACAAATACATTATTAAGAACAACTAATTACTTTTTAATAACATTGTTTTTACTTTCAATTCTCTATGTATCAGAGTCAAAACACACTATAAAAAGAAGTCATGAAATAAACTAAGTTTTACTATCCTGACCAAAATTTTAGAATGTATTGTCCATTAAAGTCAAGAGTGTTTCTCTAACATCTCGGCCAACCTTCTGACTGCAGCTCTAATAAACTGGTGTTTTTGTTTATATCGACAGTCACATATATATATATGTTATATCGACAGTTTATATATATATATATATATATATATATATATATATATATATATATATACTATAATATATATATATATATATATATATATATATATATATATATATATATATGGTATGGTTAATTTTAATTTAATTTTTAGATTGTAACTGGAGAGGATTTTCACAACCCACAGTTTCGAGATGCATTTTTAAAATTTCCCAGTTACTTGCTCAGCTATTACCCACATATATAAAATTTCCTGAAGGTCTCGAAAACCAAAGAAAGAACCAAAGGCTATTTTACGATATTGCCAATTTTCCCAAAGTAACAGGGTGTATAGACTGTACCCACATACCAATAAAAAGTCGTGGAGAGAATATGGCCGAGGTATATAGAAACAGGAAAAGACATTTTTCAATAAACGTCCAAGTAGTGGGTGGACCCAATTTAGAAATTTTCGATGTTGTAGCTCATTGGCCTGGATGAGAACATGATTCGATGATCTTCACTAATAGTTCAGTGAAACACCGTTTCGAGAATGGCAGTTTAACAGTATTTCTTCTTGGAGACAGTGGCTATGCTTGTTTACCGTATTGAATGCCGCCTCTTTTAAATCCTGAAATTGAACAAGAATTTTGTTGTTTGAGTCGGGGTTTAAATAATAAATTGAAAAGAGTTCCAGAAATATTTTAGGCATGTGCAGTTCTTTACAATATTGGGATCAAAGTGAATGATGTAAATGATGAACAAGATAATGTGGAAGAAGAACTAGATGATATGATGACAATGAACCTCACATACCGAATCAAGCTCAAAATATTGGACATATTGTACAAAGAAGACACATTGAACAACATTTTAATTGAATTCAATTTTATGTTACACCAGTTGGCCCTCTTTCACTTAGCTGTGTTGAAGTAATTGATAAATATCTACAATTCTCCCTTTTTAAAACTCCAAATTTTCCTGCTCAATACTACTGAAAATTCCGTACAAACCTATCACTTCTCCCATTATAATATCAATAAATAAAAAACAGATCAAGAAAAATAAATGTAAGTACGAGTAATTATAAAGTATGAATGTGTATAAAATAAGAGTAATAATAAAGTATAAATGTAATTACAAGTAATAATAACCTACAAATATAAATACGAGTAAAATAATAACCTTACTAAAATTAAACTAATAAAAAAATGATAAAACAGACATAATTAATCAACTGTTTTCGAAGATAATAATTGTTTTTCTAATTCTACTTTTTCCTAAAAAGGCTTTTTCAACCAGCATCCAAGCTTCATGCAATTCTGTCATTTGTTTATGTTCTAGTAAGACATTGTCAATCCTTATCTCCATGAGCCTGTCCACAGCAGATTTTTGTTTTCTTTGGGGTGTTACACTAGTGTTTGCTAAAAACAAACATAATAATGTAGTTACAAGAGATTACTCAGAGACAAAATTTCCTCGTTCAGTATACTTGTCGAGGGAGTTTCTAAAAACATAATAAAATTAGATTCACATTTTAAGTATCATATTGTATATTACCTTTTACCATAACCATATCACAGCTTGCAACAGGATTATTCCGAAACAAAGAGCTTCTACTTCCTGAACCTAAAATTCTTTATTTTTATAAATTTTTATAAATTAGGTTTTATTTGCAATTTGCTTACAAAGTTTATTTCCCATATACTGGGCATCGCTATTCACTAAATTTGTTACTTCCTCTGACAAATGGGTGGCAATTACCTCTACATCTGGCAAAATATTTATATCTGGAATTCCTCCTCCTCCACCTGTAGACATGCGATTTTGCCTTTCTTTGGATAATTCCATTTTTTTCTGTCTTTTTATTTTATCCCAGCAACATTTAAGCTGCGTAACAGTGCTCTAAAAATTTGAAGGGTTAGTTAATATATTTATGTAGGTAACTATGAGTCAAAAGATACATGTACTTATTATAGTTATCATTTACTACAGGAAATAATTTATTTTTTAAGTTAAAATATTATACAGGTTAATGCTTTTACTTACTATTTCAGTTCTCACAGTATTATAATCGTGCATAACTGCATTCCAAGCTTCCGATTTTTTCTTTATTGTAGTAGCATTTGTATTTTTATTTTCAATTATCGGATACTTCTTTAAAATTACTATTAAAATTTCTTTGTCCTCCCTTGTATAAAGCAATAATGGCACTAATTTTGAAATAGAAAATTTTAAGGGCATATGAAAGTAGGGCATTGCTGCAAATTGTCTAGGTTAGGCACAAGTATTGTAAATTTTTAAAACAAGTTTTTTTTCTGTGATGCAATAATCTTTTGATAAGAAAATGGTAATGTAAATTTAAGATCAAAATTAGAACATGGTAAACATGAGATATGGCTTGATATTACCAGGATATATGTAAAATGTACTGAAATATATGTACATACAACCTACCTTCTTTAGTTTTTTGTTTTGCTTTAAATGAGGTAAGTTTATTTCCATCTTGTTCGATTTTAGTTTTTACGGGAAATTCCTTTAGGGCTAAACTATCAAACATATTATCTGTACTTTCTTGATTAGATTCCTCCTTAATTTCACATTTAAAACCATCCAGAAGAGGATCATTTAAGTCGTTATAGTCTATTTCTACTTGACATGTCTCACTATATTCTTGTTTTACTTCCATTTGATTAAATTTTATTTTGTGTTTCAATAATAAGCCAAACCACAATCACAATTGTCAATATTATAATTATTCAGCCCTATTCAGCTATTCTATAACTACTACAAATTACTTGACTACTTGACTACAAATCGAATAGAAATGAGTCAAATCAGAGAACATACGAACGCATTTCTCTGGTCAAATCGAGTAGAGGTCAGCAAGTCGGATCGGATTTTGTAGGAATCGGTATTCTGTAACCAAATTTAGTAGATATTTAAGTAAATATCTATAACCTTGTTCTGTAACTGATCTCGACCTCTACCACCGAACAACCCTCTACTATCGAAATGTTGTGTAGAGAAATTGATTTCGAGTAGAGAGAGTTTGACAAATAGTAGACATTTTAAAAATTCCTCACTTCTAACTATTCTGATGTCTTGGCAACGCTGTGAGGTTCTGACGACATAAATATTGAATGACGTGCACTCATTATAAGGGCACAGAATAATAAAGAATCAGAATGCCCACTCTCAGATGCCGCCTTTGAAGTTTTTCAGCACGCGTGCCATGTTTTAGAAGGAAACACGTAACACAGGCATATGTGAGGTTATGTAATTGTTTATATTTATGTTAATATATTTAACAATGTTAATATAATTGTTTAGTATGTCTACGATTGCCGTAAGTCAATTAAACCGGGTTAATTTTTCTATGTAAACCACATAAACAACACCGGTTCCCTTTAAAACATGGCGGAACGTCTGCGCGTAATTAATTTTCCATGGAGAGTGGGAATTCTGATTGTTTATTATTCTGTGATAAAGGGGTATGAATATATTCGATTCACTAGTTTTTAATGAGGAACATTTTGTTGGCTATATTATTTTTCTATTGTTTAGAAATGAGTTTTTAGCAGCAAACTATTTAAAAAAATGTTTTAGTTCATGGACCGAACACGTATAGCGCTCCCTACTTCCTATTATCACAGAATAATAAACAATCAGAATGGCCACTCTCCATGGAAAATTAAGTACGCGCATCTCCTTCGCGCAGACGTTCCGCCATGTTTTAGAGGGAACCAGTATTGTTTATGTGGTGTGCATAGAAAAATTAACCCGGTTTAATTGACATACGGCAATCATAGACATACTATACAATTATATTAACATTGTTAAATATAATAAAATTAAACATAAACAATTACATAACCTCACAAATCATATGTCTGTGTTGTTTCCTTCTAAAACATGGTGCGCGTGCTGAAAACTTCAAAGGCGGCATCTGATTGTTTATTATTCTGTGCTATAATATAAGATATCATGCTAGAGAGGTATGTGCTGCTGTGCATTCAAAAGAAAATTATTAGCGGCGGGGTTGTCACATTGTCAGTTCCAATATTTCCATAATGTAACTTAAAACAATGCTACATAAAATATATAAAATTCAAACTAAGCGAAGCAAAATACTAACATTTTAATATTAAACTTACTGGGATAGGTATATTAGAAATTTTGTTCAAATTCACAGAACTTATGGCAAAACTAGTTTCTAAATCCAAAATTGTTATAACAATTATCAAAACTTGGCTTTTAACTTAATTCTGTTGCAATATGCAAATATTAGTATTCAACGTCGACAAAGGTTAGTTGTGGAACTTACAACGAAATGTCGAAAATTGGAATCCCAACAATTTTGTAAAACATAAATATCAGTGAGCGACATTTTTGACTATGTAAATACCAGTGAATTACCTATGTTGGGAAATTGCAGAAATGGAAGGGGTATCAACAGTTTTGGCTTCAGAAATCTGTATATTTTTCTTAACCTGCGTTTAGGACTGCAAAAAGTTTTTGATAGCTTTTTTTTCTCAGAATTGAACAATTCGTATCAAATCATCAGGGTCATCCCTCTCATTAGGTATCAGAAAGCATTGTGTATTAACTCATCTTTCTGTGTATTTTCAATAAAATACGAATCAAACTTGTGTTTTTAATTTAAATGATTCAAACATTAAATTGGAAAACAATGTATCAGTAAAAAAATAGATAGACTTAAGTGCATCGTAAATTAAAAAAAAAAAATGAAATTAATACGTCTCTGAAAACTAAAAATATTTATAAGTGGTCAATAGGCAAAAGGTTTGGAAAACACTGCTCTATATGGACACCCCTTTGCTAAATATTATATTGCTGATTAATTTTCCTCCTATGACCTTCAACTTTACAAAGATCCTTTAACGAGTTCCCATAGATATAACCAACTCACGGTAGCTAAGCATTCATTGCAAAGTGGAAGCAGAATTCACCAAGTGTTTGATTGTTCGCTCATATATAGGCGATGAGCATATACAAGAATGTTGTACTCAGCATAAGAGGAACCGCAGGTTCAGACATTTGATTTTTTTTCAAAAGCTGTTTGATTAAAGTTTTTCTCCAGTATGAACTCTCAAATGTATTTTCAAAATACTTGTTCGAGAAAAACGCTTAAAACAGATTTCGCACTGGTAAGGCTTTTCTCCAGTGTGTACCCTTAAATGCGTTTTCAAATGCCCATCTTGACTAAATTGTTTACAACAAATTTCACACTTGTACAGTTTTTCCCCAGTGTGCACTACCAAATGTGTTTTCAAAGTACCTGACACACTAAACTGTTTAAAACAAATATCACACTTGTAAGGTTTTTCTCCAGTGTGCACTCTCATATGTATTTTCAATGAACCTTTTTCTCTAAACGTCTTAAAACAAATTTCGCACTTATAAGGTTTTTCCCCAGTGTGCACACTCAAATGTGATTTCAAAGAAACTGCTTGACTAAACTCTTTAAAACAAATATCACACTTGTAAGGTGTTTCCCCAGTGTGTGTTCTCATATGTGCTTTCATAGTATGTAGGTATCTAAACTGTTTAAAACAAAGTTCACATTTGTAAGGTGTTTCCCCAGTGTGTGTTCTCATATGTGTTTTCAAAGCATGTACGTATCTAAACGGCTTAAAACAAATTTCACACTTATAAGATTTTTCTCCAGTGTGCACTCTCGAATGTCTTTTCAAATGACTTGCTTGAGTAAACTGCTTAAAACAAATTTCACACTTATAACATTTTTCTCCAGTGTGTAACATCAAATGTCTTTTCAAACTATATGTTTGAGAAAACTTTTTTAAACAAATTTCACAATTGTAAGGTCCTTGTCTAGTTTGAGCTTTTATATTTTTATTTTCGATTTTCCTATCAGCATATCGACTCACATGGTATTCTTTATGAGATGAATGTTCAAAAAATGGTTCCATAATTTCTATTTTGTTCTCCTCCTGAATAAAACCTAAAATACAAACAACTGTAAATACAAGGAAAAAAATGAATGTAGAAAATATATTGTCAATTATATATTATAAATATATTAGGCACCTGCATTTGTCTTGTAGATACATAAGATACTGATTTCTTTTAAACACGCCAGCAGCCAGAAAAACTTACAATCAGTCAGTCACAGTGATCAAATAACACAATTTACTAGTTTTAATATAAATCATCAGATCACAATTATTGTTCTTAGGCGGAAGCTGTACCTGGACATTTTTAAGCTTATTCATCTATTTGACCCTATACCATATAGCTTGATGTCAGTTCCTTTTCACCTCAACCGGAGTAACGTTAGAAAACTGAACAACGGCTTACCTTAAGGCGCATTGCTAGCTCCATTATTATTTAACCTTTATACTTCAGACACACCTTGAACACAATCGAGAAAATTCGCTTTTGCTGACGACCTGGCCATTACCTACCAAGATAAAAGTAAAGAAGCAGGAGAACGAGCTCTAAACGAAGATCTAACTACACCAAGTACCTACTTTAAGAGCTGGCGCTTACGCCCTAACACAAGCAAAACTAAAACCTGTCTCTTTCACCTGTCAAGTCGACTTGCGGGAGATAGGCTAAATACCACAGCTATCGAACAACAACCCCAAATATCTAGGTGTCATACTTTATACTTTAACTTTGGGTGCTTCAGCAGATACATTTCGGACCTCTGCGATAGCTTTAGTTTTTTCAGTGGCAGAGGCTTATGCACCAGTATGGTTAAATCGAGCACATACCAACAAAATCGATGTCCAATATAATCAAATCATGGGGCTCCTATGGCTCCCTATTTTGAGTAATATTACTCCACCAGATCTACGCAGTACAGCAGAATTACCGAGAGGGTACCAGAAAACTGTAGTTAATGTACAATAACAAATCCAACAAGATATACCACACATCACAACATAGTACCAGCAACTATGATCGATAAAACCCTCCAATCAGAACTGCCCGAAAAATTGGTGATACTCATGATATACATTGTCAATGATAAACAAGATTGATGCCAACAATGGAATCAAGACTATATCCAGATATCCACCCCAACCTAAGGCTTCATTGCATCAAACTACCACGGCCACCTGGGGCGAGGCTTAATCACATACCGGGTGGTGAATCGTCAAACGGGCCATAGGAAACTCAATGGGAAATTTTAAATTGTTGAATTGCTGCTTCCCTAATTATTTTAGATCAAAAGTCATAAAAAACTATTTGTAGAGGACTAAATTCTAAATTAAAAACAAATGTTAAAACCGTTCTACGAATCAAATGTACTTCAAAATTTTGCAAAAATATTATATTTTAGCAAAATTTTGGAATAAGTTTAAATCGTAGAACAATTTTAACAATTGTTTTCGATACATATTTGAGTCCTCTACAAATAGTTTCCCATAACTTTTGGTGTAAAATAATTAGGGAAGCAGGAATTCAACAATTTAGAATTTCTCATTGAGTTTCCTATGGCCCGTTTGACGATTCACCACCCTGTATGTACGGGACATGTTAAATAAGCTGACTCGCTGTTCAAATGGAACCGTGCGGTGGGTCAACAGTGCGATTGCGTATCATCTAGTCAGGCCATATCATATGTATCATATTTACCCCAGGCATATGATTTTTACAGCAGTGATTTAGTTTTAGGTTTTAGCCATTTCTTTGTAC